CTCAGCAAGAAGAATACTTTTCTTGGATAAGCTGAATATGAAATTAACTTATTGCCGTGATCTCTTCTGACATTATTCGTCTATAAATAAGTCCAGATTATTTCTAATTCTGATCTAAATTAAACAACCTATAAATAAAAGTGAAGTTCACGTTTATGTTGTTTGAAGAGTAATGAAAGAACATGTACGTGCTCCAGAAGAACACTGCCATTGTGGTCATGATAAATATTTAAACAGAATATATGAAATGAGCATTTTCAATGAGATCATGTTTACAAAGCACTTGGGACCGCGTCAATAAACTTCCGAAAAATACATGTTGTAAATAATCCTCGATTTAGAAAAAATCTGCAGCGACAGTTATTAGTGGGAAAACTCAGAGATATAGTGTAATTTGTCAGAGATATGATATAATTTGTCAAAACCGGTCGGGTAATACAATAGGTCCTGCACGCGACATGCACAACAATTCCGGAACTCAATCCTTTATAATAAAATTTCAATGTTCTGTAACTTGTAGAGAAATGAGCTATTTTGCCGGGGTAGGAAAATCAGCTATCCTCGTCTGCTTACATATTTAGTAATGTATTTTTTTAGGAGGTGTAGATCTTTCGTACGAAATCCCCGCAAAAACAAACACTCCCGTCACCGCTCCAAATATGAAAATTACTAATTATCCAGTTAAGGATGGGGTTATGGTTGGGAATGCAGATTATGCACGTAATTGAAATTTTCAAATCATTTCTAACCCTAACTGGATAAATACTAATTTGTTGTTTTAAAACGTGGCAGGGTGTCTTTCTCTAATCTCACATTTTTGCAATAGTGGCTGGAGCTTTGTTCAAAAGACCCAGAGGTGTGATCGATTCAAATTGATAATATTGCAAGCATGATTTTCAGCTTGTCGGAGTAACGGACTTGGTTTGTAGTAATATACAATGAATACAAGGTTGTGATTTAAGCATGCTCACTTTATGAAGATTGAAACCGCCCTCAAGGCAAACATCTAACCATGATGCCGCTCTGAAACTGAAATAATTATTTGTGTGCCCAAGAGTGAAAATAGTACAATAAATATTACATAACTAAAACTGCCTACCCCACCGAAGCTTGTACTGTACACTTGAGATAGGATTTGCAGTATTATTCATGAGTTACGCTACAATTTGTTTTTCATTAATGACATTAACCTGATAAAGATACCAATTTTATTAAATTGTTTTGTAACAATGCATTTTCTCCTTCGTCAGATTCATGTCATTCACCCTATGTTTACAATCCCAGCACAGTATTTCATTACCTAATCATATATTAAAGCCAAAATACGTCACAACAAAGACTGTTTGATCAGTATTTATTTGTGTCTAGGCTGAAAATTTTACGACAGATTACCATTTTCTCCTAACCTGCGTCCTCGACAAGGTATGCCAAAAAGCGATTGTTTGACGTCGAATGTACGGATGTTTTGGACTTTGGAAACATAATTATAATAGCCATAACGAATGCATTTTTATAGTAATCTGAGCTAATGAAAACATCCAAAATACAGACGGAAACGCTTTAATGTAAAGTATGTTATGGTGTTCGAAAGTTGTTTCGAATGTTTCTACATTTTAGCGAGCAGGCCATTGTTTGTAAACAATGCGAAACAAGTACTGCAACCTGCAATTATACTGATGTTTCACATTTTTTATGAATCATTAAAGAGGAAAAAGTTAGGAATATACGTCGCGTGCTTTGTTTAGCAATAACAAAATTTTCATATTTAACGCAGAACGTTGCAGTATATAAATACTTATAGGACAACTGAGTGATTTGGTTTACAATTCGGGGTCAAATACCCTCTAAAATCACGACAAGTTCAAGCGTGGCTTACCTAGATCTGAAACTAAAACTTGCTTTCAAATGCCAGTTACGCACACACCATCAGCGGATGAGGATCATAATTCCATCTATTTTCTTACCAAATAACTGATAGATATGCATTATAAAAATAACTCCCGTCTCCACATAGGGATTTGATGAGATGCATATTTATTAGGGCAGGGTATGAGGTTTGTAACTCGGTTACATTACCCGAAATTTGCTCTAAGCTAAACTTCCAAAATTTGAAGTAGAATGAAAATGACATTTTTGTATTTCCATGTGCAGTAGGACCCAATCGATATACTAACGAAGTTGAAGAAGGATTAAATGGTTAAGGTAAGCTATGTTTGACCCATTTAATAGAGCCGAGTTTCTGGAGTGGAGGTATGCTGATTAAATGAAATATAATTCGCCGATATTAATACGCCGAATCGAATGTTTGTTTCCGTTTCGCCGTCGCATCAAGTGTAGTTTACATAGCCACATTCGAGACGAAAACAGGATGTTAAAAACATATGTGGCGCCATTTTCGCGCTTTTTTGGTGGACTTGAGTGACCTTTTAAATTAAATTATATTTTGGTTACGGTTGGCTGATTCTATATCTGGTCATGTCGATTTGTGTACTGATCTAACCTTGTGATCAGCAAACGACTTGAAGATGGTTGGAATGGTTCGATTTATAACAGCGCTAATCACCTCCCAAATCTTGAACTTTGGAAGGCATATTTCCTTCAAGAGTCAAGTTAAGCGCAACTATTTTGGACATCACCATTCTTGTAGTGTTTACCTGCTTTGAGATTCGGTAATATTTGTGTCTTTCACACGCACATAACTAATATTGGGGCAAGTTTTGAGCTTTTGATTTTGGGCTGTACACACGAATATCACCAAAATAAGGTTGCCAGCATTTTCAGATCGGTTTCTTTGGCGGAAAAATGACGTTGTGTACCTTTACATTGTGTTTCAAGAAAAAAAGACACAAAATTTCGCTTCCATTAAGACCAACTCTTAATGTAAAATAAAACGGAAATAATTCAAAGAGCGCGCTAACAAACCTTCGCCGGGAGCACCGACCTCGCTCTGCAAAAACGAGTCATCGCGCGGCATCTCGCTCCTGGTGGTGTGATGTTTTTGAGAAAAAATGTAGGTTACTAGCGGTTAGGCGGAAGAGCACGTGTTTCGTCTGTTCTCGCAATCCCGGCAAAATATTTATTCGGGCGCACATAACATTATCGGGTGGAGTACCTCGGGATAAAATAAAACATTTTTTCTATTGACCTACAGTTAGTTCTATGCCATTACGTCAGCCTACTTGATTAAAAGAAATATCCGAATGATAATTCGTAGCGTTACACCGAGCTTATCCTGTACTTATATGGAAAACACGTACAAAATTCTCGAGGAATTTATATCCTCAACCAGAAGTCTTTTTGACAAGCATAGACGTATTGGTAAATGCGTTTTGCAATTGCTGTAGGAAACCATAACATAATAGGATATAATATGATGTCTCGATCTTAAATACCAGAGATAGGAAATTGATGACGTTTTTGGCCTTTTCGCAAATCATGGTAACTCTTCTCATACTACGTGCTTGTTATTGTCATAAGAAACCCCAAGAACAACATATTATATACTGGTATGTGATATGAATTTTGGCGAATATTAATGGCATTATGCAATATTCTTTTTAAATAGTCTGGCTATAGGCCGAAACAGTTCGGAATGGAGATAGATATATGTCCCTAAACGCTATTTGAGATGACATCTTCCGAAAAAGATTTTTAGTCTGACGTGTACTACTGCTATTACAAGCGATGTTGCCAACAGAAGTACATTGGAAATGCGAACTGTATTTTGGGGCAACAAGCTATGATTGTTCGAAACACTGCATACTTCGTAGAATTTTCTAGAAGCAAAGATTTTATTGTGTTTTATCAACAATTGGTATAGCTAATCGGTGTTGTCGTTGGTTGTTTTCGCAGGGCGAAATAACTTTGTGGGCGGAATAGAAACGGGTCATTAGTTCACGCCTAATGATTCAGCTGCCTACTAAACAAATCGTCGTTTTGCTCGGTCATGCCTTTATTGGCGGAAAAAATGAAATATTCATTCAAGTGGCGTGGAAACATCGCCAGATCACCATTTGTCGACATGGCTTGAGTAGGTATCGATGGATCGACAAATTTGCCGAGTGTATACTGAACTAATATCGTGGCCCTGGATGACCTGGGGAATCTCGGAATCCGCACGCCAACTTTTTAACTCGCTGATTCCTAGAGTTACACGACACATTCACAGTTCAGCGGTTCTTTTATGAGATTTTGAATACCATGGCAATTATATCTGAATAAAAACAGAAACTCGGAAATGATATTTCTTAACTTCACAGGCCCTGGCGGGCATTCGCTCTAATACGTCACTCTCCATAGTTTAAGAAGGCGTTGCTGATTTCCATGCATGCACAAACGAATTGCTTCTCAGTAATATTATATTTCTTAGAGAGTTTCAAACATTAATTTAGTGCGATATGTGGTAGATAAAACGTGCAATTTTGCAAACAGCTATACAGATTTTATTGCTTTGCGTATTTTAAATATTATTTTATGATCATCTGTGGCAGACAAAGCGTGCAATTTTGCAAGTATTGTTATTAGAATAGTTTTAAAATCAGATTTTCGTCAAACTGCACTCGATGAGGCGTTATAAATAATTAATCTCGCGGTATAGCACGAAACACATCCACAATAATTCTTTCGATCAACGTCATCGCCATGTGGTTTCAATTTCATTCTTTGTCGTACATTGTATTGCAGGTTATCTGACACCTAATCGCCGATTTGAATTTTTATCCAATCCAAGGTCGGATAAATTTCTAATCACACATAGAAATCAAGTGTTATATTGCAATCACCATTCTGAATGAAACTTGATTCCAACTTTATTCGCTAATACCAAGTTAATATGAGATAAACCGAGGTCGTGGCGCTAAAATTGACCCCATTGTCTTCGAATCACTGTTATTAACGCAACCGTTGTAATACTATACCGCCGCCAAGCGATGCTATCGAAAACCTACCAGATTATCTTTTATACCACAGGCTGAATTGCTTGTCAAAACAAAATTGCTTCGTTCAGACTTGCTTTGAATGTATTGAATATAAACGACATGAAAAATGACGAATCGTTCGTTTTCAAGTGTGGCTCATAGACATACGCGCCCTTACCTACGTTTTTTTAAATTACTTTGAGTGACAGCGTGGTCGCATCTTGTAATCGACACCAAATCAGATTATTTTGTCATCGGTCTTTAAGCTACATGAACGAAAACAGTTTTGTGAAAAAATATGAATATAAGACCAAACTTGAAACTTGTACTACAAAAAATTTCAATCACAACTGGGGGTATGTAATAGCAAAATGTTAACTGTATAATATCCATTTAGCGACGTATTTGAGTAATACACAGAAAGTACCCACAACTCTATATTAGAATTGCATTGTATGTAGTACAAGTCAAAGATGGACCTCATTACAATATGTTTCCTACCCATGTAGCCATTCTAAAAGTGAGCATAATCATCTGCACGGATTTCGGTATGTATTTTATCGTTTTGCATATTTTTTTAGTTTTATCATCAGCGACATGGTCTTATAGGCAGGTATAGACAGCGTTTATTAAACTGTGGTGATGCTAATATATGACGATCTATGACGGAAAGGTATTTATTTAGAAGCGTACAATTCCAAGGGCAGTTAATATTTTACTGCCAAACCACAGTATAATTGGCATTTTTTTCGACAGCAGATATTGTTGTTCCATATAATTGAAGCGAACTGGGTTCAGTGACAGCATCAACCAATTTTGACCAATCTTCTTGAAGCTTAATTAAATGACCTAGGAAAAAAGGAAATTTAGATATAACATACATTATGAAAGTACCTTGGTAGGTTTTACTGTGCGACTACTCGTGATACAGATTCTTGAAACAAACAGGTCCTTCTTTTCAAACATTATTTCAAGACACTGTTCCCAATTACTACGGTGGGCAAGTTAAATATACGAAATGGTCGAATGTACAACTTCGTGTGGCGCAATTTACAGACTAAGATTAACTATTTGTTGAGTACAAGTTTTGCAATGGAAGTAAGTAAAAGCTTCTGGAACGACGGGAGGGTTAATAATCATCCTTTCAGCGATGTTTACAAACCGGGTGTGTCCATGTTTGGTGAAAGCGATTATTCATCCTAAGTTAATATTATACCCCTGTTGAGAACATCAGAAGAAGGAATACAGCAATGACTGCGGCGTACATGTATGTTCCGTTTTCATCCATGTTTTGGCCGACGATCAATATTTACAAGACGGAACGTGGGCAGTTTTTGCTATACTGGTGACTACATATAGCCGGAATATGGTATTAGTTCGATTGAAGTATTTTAATTTATTGTTTCTAACCTATCGCTTGGGTGATGTACATACTATTTTTTCTTTGTTCATTAAAAACTAATGTTTACTATGAAAAACTGGGAGTGATACGAAATTGTGTAATGTATTCGTTTTCTAACTTAACACACACACACAAACACACTTTCCATTTCTATTAGGACCGTTTATGGGAATTTTGAAGTGGATAAAGTCGCTTTGTTGATTATGATTCTGTCTGGACCTATGGGTGGTTATTGGACACAAAGCTTGGCTAAATTGTTGTTGTTGTTGAGACAATAATTCACTTGCGACTATTTGACCAATTAATTTTCAACACTTAAAGATGGAAGCCGCTAGAAAGCTATTACTTCTATTTTCTCCTTTGATTATATGGGACCCGATTAAAATACTAGAAATTGTTGTTTTATTTTAATTCAAGTGAACACTTTTATACGATATAGGGGAATATTTTATATGACATTTGACTATCGTGTCCATATGTATGAGCATTACTCTCTTGTTTATATAGGAACTGAAGCATTTACATCTCAAAGTGAATTGGACTGAAAAGGCGGACGGTAAGCTATTTACAGAAATAGGATAATATGAGACCTTTCAAGTGAATCTATAGTTACAAAACGAACCAAAAATATCTCCTGGTCAGCCCTGTATGTTGACCGTTTCATGTTGTCAGTTCATTGCCATTACTCATCTCCAACGTCGTTAAACTGTCATATACACTTTAATGCACCATATCATATTAGATCATTTTTATCTGAAAAATAAAATGAAAAATAGGTTAGATCATACATGAAATAATCATATGATGGTGTAAGTGCCTGGGTTTGTGTAATATTTCGAAATTCGTAGTGGTTGCAGATAAGGTTATTTAAAAATATTGCAGTACAGCTGGGGTCAATGTGTAAGACATATACGAGAAATAAAAAGTATGAAGTATGTTTTGAAGGCCATTAAATTTGCTTAAAATTTTTGCCCCATGCAACAAATGGGTTCTAATATTTTTCAAACCTAGTCCTAACCCTAACTAATTGTATCTACGTCTGTATTGTTACTTGTGTCCAGTTCAATTTACTACAAAAACACAGAAATAAATATACTGTATTTTCACATACGAAACCGATATCAGATAGGCCGAACGGTATGAAACAAGAGGGGTCACATCCTGGGTCAAGCTGCGTCGCCATAACAATCTATGACATTAAGTGGACGTTCAAGTGTCGTCATATGTTTGTTACATTGATGACCAACGAATCAAAATCGTGTCACGAGTCACTCAAATTGACCATCAAACGACTGACGACGATGGACTCATAGTTAGTCAACAAGTCGGAAAATGAACAACAAATAATGGGGAAATTTGTTGTTTTAAATATAAGCTTCACACTTTCCGTTCACGTAATCCTTTTAGTAATAAGGAATTTGACATTTCAAATGCATTACACTCTATTAATATTAAAACTACATTTTATATATATTAGGTTCAAATCTCTACTAATTAGTTGAATACAAGTCTAAATTTTTAGTGAAGAAAATGTTATTTTGTATTTATTCATTCTTTTAATTGTAAAGTAATACATGTTTATTCTCACATTATAAACGATTCAAAACCTGCGTGCAAATTGCGCTTATCACCAGTTATTAAGGACTCATGATTGAACGTCAAACAGAAACGGAGTTTTTGTGCATAGAAAAGGGGAAAGGAGAGTTTCAAATACAGTATAGGCAAAGGCAGGAGTGCATCAAAAAAGGTTGAGTACCACTAAATGTGGCTGGTAGGCAAGGTTTTTGTACACTAGCAAGTTCGTTATCGTTATACCATGATGTAGGATTCACAAACAAAAACAACTGAATGTGGTGAAGATAAGTCACACATATTTAAATTATTAATATGAATATTATCACACAATTATTAGAAAATGGCGGATATTCTGCTCGTTATTTACCACCAGTTTGTGCGAAATTGTAATCAAATTAGAGTCTCTAGAATTGTTCTCGGCATTTAGAAGGTTTTAGACCTCATCATCATACACTTTGTAACTCCATTGGACGGAAGCATGCTTACGCACTGTTCTTTTTTCATCCTCCAGTTTCGTATTCACCACAATCTCTCAAAATTAAATATACTTCGAAAGTATTATGAATTATATGCAAATTCGTTTTTATTAACGGTTTCATTCGTCAAAAATACCATTTTGTCACTATTGGCTTATAGTCTTATACCGTCAGCTCCATTACGTATGGAACATGTATGAACAGAACTACTATATTTGACATAAAATAGAATTGAGGTAATATTGCTAAATCATGAGTTTTCGTAATGAATTCAGACCAAGGATAGCAAAAGCAAACGAAAATATACTCCACTCATATTTTATATTTTACTCTTCATGTCACTTATTATATGAACTTCTCACATACACGCTGATTTAAAAATATTTCGATGCGAATTTGAATTGTCATCGTCTTTCAAGTTACGGCCACACGGAAGCATAAATATTTTCGGGAACCAGTGAATGACACGCATATCGATTATTTATTAGGGGTCACTCACAGTTTTAATGGAACGGCAAAATCACGAGAAGGTTTTTTTAAAACGATATTCGCGCCTCTTCCACACATACATACCATATTCTTCAAACAGTCTTTCAATTTGAATACTGATAATGATTGCTATAGAAAACCAATTAGATTTTTGCGTATGATGCAGATGTGAAGTTTGTTGCATGTTTTGCTTTTTCGATATTGGGTTTCTTTTTACAGTAACGTAGCCCAGTACAAGATATAATGAGCGACTACGTTTGACAGGACTGGAATCGATTCAAGGCACCCCGAGTTATATTAATTACAACACTGATAGGCCAGTTTGCTAGTGCCAAGATGGATCTTGGCCCCTAATCCATATTTCTATAGATTGAACGATAGATAATCCCTCAGAATGTATGACGAACTTGTTTTCAAATTTCTGAACAATGTGACTAACTCGTACTTATTATGTCAGTGAAGAATGACGCAGTTGTATCAGAATTATTGTGAGAAGAGATTGTCACGTACCGCGTTAATCAAAGCCGTTTGTACGTTTGTAATTGACTCAAAACACAAAGTATGGAGTAACAATCTAACGGAAAGCACTTCTTTTTAACTGATCTAAGCACATCTGAACCAAATATGTAAACTTTGTTGATTGTAGAGTCTGTAGACCATTTCGCTGCGCGTGAATATACTGTCGAAATAGTCTTTTAAGCCAGTGATCGGCAACCAACGGGTTGCGGCTAGATGTCCGTGCGCGAGAAGCTCGCTACCGGCATTAATAGCTTTGTACACTTGTTGCCAGATTTTCAACATCTTGTAATGAAATAACGCAGTTAACAATGTAAATTTATCGATAATCAACGTCGAACATTTGAGTTTGCTTCGTTATGGAGTTACCATTACCGTTTTAAATCATGCAAGTAAATACATCCATTGCGAAGTTTATGCTTGGTAAAATATGAAATTTTAGAGGATTGATTTTTCCAAGTGTGTTGTCGACATGATATTTGTTTTTGTATGAAGATCCCAAACTATTATTCAAACTGAAAAGGCTTTGACTTTTAATGAGCTGTTGTGTCCTGAACAACTGAAAATGGTAAATTTGCCGTTTTAGCGAAACCCCAAACCCGAAGTAGCCACCTTTAGCAGGACGATAAATGTGCATCTTTTACTTTGTGTATGGTTTTGGGTTACGTGAAAGATAATAGATAGCTTTACCCTGGCGGCTGTTGTATCCATCTATTAAGTCTCAGTTTTTTTTTTTTGCTCAGGCTAGTTATGTCGCAATCCGCTCTCTTAAAAAATCACCAATCCCTCCAGGAAATTGTAATATACGTCATCTTAAATATTGGAACGCCTATGAGCCCCATAGCGTCAATAATGTTGATTAATTCCTTCATTCAACGGTTTCGAAAATTCCCAATTTTTCCTTTTTGTGTTTCGTAGTAAATAGAATGACGTGGAACGTCTGAGTAGTAAAGTTTGAGACAGACTTTTCTCAATTCTAGTATTGGGTTACCAACGTGTCGGAAACACCCACATGATCATACGACCCACGGGTCGAAATAAACGGACCCGTGCGCTCTCTCAGTCCAAAATCTCTACATCGGTACCAAAAATAGCATAAAAAGGGCATTCGTGTGGAAAAAATCTCGCCGGATAAACGTCAAAAACCTTTTTTCACATTCCTTACTGTTTTTCCGTATCGGTTTGGCAGTTTCGTGACGAAAAGCATGCGTGATCGTGTGTTTTTTCACGAAAAAACAGGAAAGGGTTCTATGATATATACACTGCTATACAACATCCGAGATAATTAAATTCCAAAACGTCAAGAGTGGTCGGCATGGCATCATAACAAAAACAAGATTAAATTGTATTTTCTTCAGTGAAAACAACAACAGCTTAACTTTATTACAATGTCAAATACGACTAGTTTTGGCATTTTTTATTAATTTGCTACAATTGTGATTTTTAAATTGAAACATCATTCAATACTTTTTTATAATTTACAAATAATATTATCATACCTATAGGGAGTGGGAAAATAGAAGGCTTAGTAAAACGCGCTGCTGCGAATTCAAATGAAAGTATATCTTATAAAGCAGGTTCTCTTAATGCCAGATTTTTTTTATTATTATTCCTCTTTCAGAATTGGCAGGTCTCAAGTTTGAATATTTGTCAAAATTTTTAGTTTTTGCGAAAATAAGAAAGTATTTTGGGGGTTTATTTTTGACTCATATCTGTGCTTCGCAACCGTCCTGATTCGTTCGCTGTTTAATTAATCCTATGATAAGTTTTTGTTTCATTATTTTATACAGATAGATCTATTTTGACTTTCACGTTTTAGTATAATTTATATATGTAGTTTTCGGTGTGTGTTGTTTTGAAAACCTGTCTCGTACGAGAACCATTTAAAAAAAATCCTTAGCCCAATTTTGAAGTGGAAATACTACTCCACGAGATATCTCAGAAATTGTAACAAAACAGGAAATAGCACGTTCTTGATTTCCCTTCAGATGGAATGAACCGTGTCACAGAGGACTCGAAATCCTAGTTTTGTCAACAACCTGGTTATAGTATTACAACCAGGCGACATTAAGAACATTCTCTCTCGTCGTAAATTAGTCGCACACCATTCCACTTGTTTTTGGCGATGAATGGTAGAAAACAGATCCCAAAATGTATTTATCATACATGGACAACCCAAAACTTCAATCTTCATGAAGTTGGGTGGAGTGGAGGAGTATACACTTCAGTCGCATCATAGAGATTCTGTTTGACACACATATAATAACTTCATTTTTGTTGTTCGAATTACAATACCAAAAAATGGGTGAAAATCAAGTTTGTCAGTAAATGACAGTGGATTGATTCAGTTCTTAATTAAGCACCAAAATTTATTTAACAAAAATTTGAAGTTAACTTCAAAATGTTCGGATCTTTTGTACAAAGCCCCTGCTCAAAATAAGGAAATTAGTAATTATCCAGTTAGGTGGAGGTCTAGGAATGTAGATTGCGTTAAATATTTGAATTTCTAAATCATCTTTAACCCGAACCCTAGCCCTAACTGGGTATTACTGAGTTGTTATTTTAAAACGTGGCTGGGGTGTTTTCTCAGATCTCACATTTTTGCATCCGTTGGGGGGAGGGGGGGGGGGGGGGCTTATTCAAAACCGATATACATTACAAATTTTGATAGTCGGTCCTTTTTTTAATTTTATGCAATTTAGTGAATTCTTGCTACGAATTGCGTTGCCGATTCATTCGAAAAATATATCGACGATATTTTATTTTGTAAACGAATGCGACTAATATTATGAACTTTATACCCTCCCTTTATTATGTGATAACTCCTTATAATAGTCAACATTCAAGTAGATTCCAATGCGCTAATTTGCGATCACTGGCTATTTTCATATTCGAATTGGTTAAAGAACAACATTCTTTGAAATGTTGAATAAAGGGCGCTCCAGAAGTGTTGTACCAATATGGAGGTGACTAATTTTATTCGCCTACACCAAGTTGTGTAAAGGGACTTAAACCTATGGGTAGGGGGTGTATTCAGTTGGCTAACACAGACAGTCCCCGAGCTCGTAATAGAACTAAAATGAGAAAAATCGGAATCAAATTAGGATCTAACCTGGTACACACACTACGGTTACGGGAGTACCGAATCAAGCACGTAGCCAAGGCACACGATATTCTGTGTCGCTTACTTACAAACCTCTAGATACGCTAATAGTATGCATATGCCATTGTTGTCGGTTTGGGAGCCATAACGATAGCTCGCATCATGTTATATATGGAATAGGATCTTTAGTGTTTCCATTCAACTTATTTTGTTATCACTTTTTGTTTGGTCAACTGCGATTGGACGGTGAGGGGAAGGTTAAACGCTCACCATGGACCGAAAAAGTCGTAGAAATAGATTTTT